GTGTGTGGACATGAAAGCCCACGTTTTTGGTGCCGCACATACGGGTTACTGGGGCACAAAGAGGTAAATATCAATTTCCTTCTTAGTATATCTGACCCCCAACAGCTAGTATACAGTAAGGCTGGAGTGTTACCTAACCTACGGGAGAGAATGACAAACCTAAACAATCCATCCAATCAGCCAGACCCTTGTACTATACAGCTGACCGCACAGCGCACAACCGGGACCAAGTCTACGCAATCCGACCGCACGACCGGGACCGAGTCTACGCAATCCGACCGCACGGCGCACGACCGGGACCGAGTCTACGCAATCCGACCGCACGCACGACCGGGACCGAGTCTACGCAATCCGACCGCACGCGCACGACCGGGACCGAGTCTACGCAATCCGACCGCACGGCGCACGACCGGGACAGAGTCTACGCAATCCGACCGCACGACCGGGACCGAGTCTACGCAATCCGACCGCACACGACCGGGACCGAGTCTACGCAATCCGACCGCACACGACCGGGACCGAGTCTACGCAATCCGACCGCACGCGCACGACCGGGACCGAGTCTACGCAATCCGACCGCACGACCGGGACCGAGTCTACGCAATCCGACCACACGACCGGACCGAGTCTACGCAATCTGACCCGGGTTTAGCTACGCAATCGAACCGGGGACCGAGTCTACGCAATCCGACCGCACGACCGGAACGGACCGAGTCTACGCAATCCGACCTGCACGACCGGTTATACCGAGTCTACGCAATCCGACCGCACGACCGGTCCCGAGTCTACGCAATCCGACCGCACGACCGGTCCCGAGTCTACGCAATCCGACCGCACGACCGGTCCCGAGTCTACGCAATCCGACCGCACGACCGGTCCCGAGTCTACGCAATCCGACCGCACGACCGGTCCGGAGTCTACGCAATCCGATTCGACCGCACGGGGTACCGGTCCCGAGTCTACGCAATCGACCGCACGACCGGTCCCGAGTCTACGCAATCCGACCGCACGACGGGTCCCGAGTCTACGCAATCCGACCGCACGACCGGTCCCGAGTCTACGAGTCTACGCACGCAATCCGAGACCGCACGACCGGTCCGAGTCTACGCAATCCGACCGCAACGACCGGTCCGGGTCCCGAGAGTCTACGCAATCCGACCGCACGACCGGTCCCGAGTCTACGCAATCCGACCGCGACGACCGGTCCCGAGTCTACGCAATCCGACCGCACGACCGGTCCCGAGTCTACGCAATCCGACCGCACGACCGGTCCCGAGTCTACGCAATCCGACCGCATACGCGCACGACCGGTCCCGAGTCTACGCAATCCGACCGCACGACCGGTCCCGAGTCTACGCAATCCGACCGCACGACCGGTACCGAGTCTACGCAATCCGAATGCCGCACGTACCGACCGTACCGAGTCTACGCAATCCGACCCGCACGACCGGGTACCGGGGTCCGAGTCTACGCAATCCGACCGCACGACCGGTACCGAGTCTACGCAATCCGACCGCCGCACGACCGGTACCGAGTCTACGCAATCCGACCGCACGACCGGTACCGAGTCTACGCAATCCGACCGCACGACCGGTACCGAGTCTACGCAATCCGACCGCACGACCCGGGGTACCGAGTCTACGCAATCCGACCGCACGACCGGTACCGAGTCTACGCAATCCGACCGCACACGACCGGTACCGAGTCTACGCAATCCGACCGCACGACCGGTACCGAGTCTACGCAATCCGACCGCACGACCGGTACCGAGTCTACGCAATCCGACCGCACGACCGGTACCGAGTCTACGCAATCCGACCCCGCACGACCGGTACCGAGTCTACGCAATCCGACCGCACGACCGGTACCGAGTCTACGCAATCCGACCGCACGACCGGTACCGAGTCTACGCAATCCGACCGCACGACCCGTACCGAGTCTACGCAATCCGACCGCACGACCGGTACCGAGTCTACGCAATCCGACCCGCACGACCGGGGTACCGAGTCTACGCAATCCGACGCCGCACGACCGGTACCGAGTCTACGCAATCCGACCGCACGACCGCACGACCGGACCGGTACCGAGTCTACGCAATCCGACCGCACGACCGGTACCGAGTCTACGCAATCCGACCGCACGACCCTCCGGTACCGAGTCTACGCAATCCGACCGCCGCACGACCGGGTACCGAGTCTACGCAATCCGAGACCGCACGACCGGGTACCGAGTCTACGCAATCCGACCGCACGACCGGTACCGAGTCTACGCAATCCGACCGCGCACACGACCGGGTACCGAGTCTACGCAATCCGACCGCACGACCGGTTCCGGTCTACGCAATCGACCCGCACGACCGGGCTACCGGTACCGAGTCTACGCAATCCGACCGCACGACCGGTACCGAGTCTACGCAATCCGACCCCACGACCGGTACCGAGTCTACGCAATCCGACCCCACGACCGGTACCGAGTCTACGCAATCCGACCCCACGACCGGGTACCGAGTCTACGCAATCCGACCCCACGACCGGGTACCGAGTCTACGCAATCCGACCGCACGGCGCACGACGGTACCGAGTCTACGCAATCCGACCGCACGGCGCACGACCGGGACCGAGTCTACGCAAACCGACCGCACACGACCGGGACTGAGTCTACGCAATCCGACCGCACGGCGCACGACCGGGACCGAGTCTACACAATCCGACCGCACGGCCGGAACCGAGTCTATACAATCCAATCGCACGGCGCACAACCTGTACCAAGTCTATACAATCTGATTGTACAACCTCTTTTAGATCTACCATAAACAGTACAAGGCCCTGTCAGGATGCAGAGAGCTCGATAGGATGGCGTAGGCAGGTCATCGCATAGATTTGGTAGATATGAAGTCGATTATACAGTCAGATAGTAAGGTGTGGGGCGACCCTACAGGAGTCTGTACAAGGTCTATACAATCTGATTGTAATGTCTCCTTTAGGCTCGCCCTTCCACTGCATACTTGTTATAGCAGAGATCGTACGATCAGATTGGAAGGTGTAGGCTGGCCATGCAATCTGATTGCACAATTTCCAGCAAGGAGGGATCCATGAGCCCTGTCAAGAGGAAGCCCCCAGTGCTGTGCACGGAGAAGGAAGTACCTCGCCTCCCCGGTACCTCCCGTACAGCCAGGAGGAGAAGAGCAGGCTGGCCGGATGCTGGCCGGAGAACAGGCGGAACTCACCACTACACGTCCAGGTGGAAGGCCCAACAAAGCGGACGCAGGATACTCCAGGCCGAAGCTGCCTCGGCCTCCTCCCCGCACCCACACGCCGTCCTCTCCGGAGGTGTTCTCTGCTCAGCACTCAAAGCTTTACCGCGTCCAATCTCCCCCACACAGATCCATCACACTGCGCATGCCCACAACAACAGGACCTCCGTCACACAAAGAACTCCCCACCCCTTCCTGAACCAGCGCCCAATCATCGCAGAGCATCTCCCATTCACGCCCCCTCATTTTGCCTCAGACCCAAGTGACAGCGCCTCCTGCAGCTCCGGGCCACGCCTCCTATGGAAAGCTTTCTAGGTTACGCCCACCTATGCGGCATTCCCTTCGCTTTAGGCACGCCGGCTTCCCCCAGAGTGCGTGCTCGCTCCCGCGAGGATTTGGAGGCACACAGTGCACGCGCAACCATTTGCCCAGCGCGTGCGCAGACGCTGCAGTGTACAGGCAAATGCCCAAAGAAGGGAATAAAAGGATCTATAATGGGAAATGAAGTGTTGATGTGTGCTGGTTTGAAACGAAAGTTGATTGAAAGTACCAGAAAAGGAACCTTTTTTATTCTATTCTGGATAGCAAAGGGAAGCTGTTAGAAAATCTCTGCCATGGTGCTTCTTTAGGGAGATTTACCTTCACTTCCTGTTCTGTAGACCCAACAGGAAATGGTATCTTTCCAATGTGAAGCACGTTTTATACAGCATGCCCTTTGGCAAGTGGTATTGGCCAAACATACCCCTTCAAGTGAATGGGATCAAGTTGCAACTGCATGTAATGAACACAGTTGTGTTGCAACAGGATCCCCCCCCCAAAAAAGCCATTCAGGAGGTGCTTAGGAACTGCCTGTCCACCAGCTCTGAAAAGTGTTCCACTGCAGATCACTTTTCAGGGCTGTCATAAATACAGCCATTCATGTGAGCTAGGCCTTAGACAGTTGTCACGGAAACACGTCTCCATGGGAAGATTACCCCTCTCTTCCTGTTCTGGTGACAACTCAACATTTTGGATTTGCCCCTCATGTACATTGATGGGAGATTAATGACCAGACATTAAGAGAGAAGCATCCTAAGGCCTCGTTCACACAGGTGGATACATCATATGCTCATGTGACGTGTTTATCCGCATGGGGATTCACAGGTGTTCCATGCTTACCTGTGCAGGCTGCCCCAAAGAGCTGGATGCAGTCCTAAATGCACAAAATTTAAATGGATATTAACCACTTCATGTCCGGACACTTTCACCCCCTTCCTGTCCAGGCCAATTTTCAGCTTTCAGCGCTATCACACTGTGAATGACAATTGCGCGGTCATGCAACACTGTACCCATATGAATTTTTTCCGCATTTTTTGAGACAGATAAAACTTTATTTTGGTGGTATTTATTCACCACTGGGATTTTTATTTTTTTGCTATATAAATGAAAAAGTCCAAACATTTTGACAAAAAAGTGTTTTTCTTATAAAATTGTGCAAATAAATAATTTTTCTTCATAAATCTTGGCCAAACTGTATTCAGTTAATTTTCTAGTAAAAAAAAAAATGACCCAAATTAGTTTATAAGCAAAAATTATAATTTTTCAAAAACATTTTTTTATATTATTATTTATGGGGTTTTCTTTAACATACCATCACCCCGATGAAGATTTTTTTTTACACTAATTGCTTTTACACCCATAAAGGCTGTAAAAGCAATGATTTCTCCTTCTCTCTGGCTGCATTCTTGCAGCCATTGAGGAATACTGTGTGAGCTGTGATTGGTCACAGCTTGTCACATGGTACAAGGCTGTTGTGAATAGGCTTGCACCATGTGACCTCGGTGATCATTCACAGATTTCACCAGTAGTAAGCAATGATGTCAGGAAGTGACATCTTGCTTACACCTGTTCATGTGATCACTGATTGGCCAATCAGTGATCACATGAATCAAGACCTCACACAGAGGTCCCTTACAGCGATCCAGACACAGCGGGCACCGGATCGCGGTGCCATGTGCTCCTGGGGAGCGCGCACAGGCGGTGAATGCGGGTGACGTTTAGAAACGTCAACCCGCTTCGGCACTGCTCCCGTCCAGCCGTTTATGTGCATGGGACGGACGGGAAGTGGTTAAAGTAGAACTATAGGCAAAACCTTTTTTTTTTTTTTTTTTTTTTGGTTAGAGCAAGGGAAGGTTACAACCCGTCAGATTTTGTTTCGCAATCCCTCTCCAATCTATCCAAAACTAAAATAAAAGTTTTGCCTTTAGTTATGCTTTTATACAGTGGGGAAAATAATTATTTGATCCCCTGCAGATTTTGTGAGTTTGTCCACTTACAAAGAAATGACGGGTCTATCATTTTTATCATAGGTGTATTTTAAATGATAGAGACAGAATATCAACCAAAAGACAGAAAAAACACGATACAAATGTTATAAATTGTGTTGTAGTTTAGTGAGTAAAATAAGGATTTGATCCCCAAGCAAAACATGACTTATTACTTGGTGGAGAAACCCTTGTTTGTAACAACTACAAGATGTTTCTTGTAGTTGGTTACAGGTTTGCACACATCTCAGGAGGGATTTTGGTCCTTTTTACAGATCTTCTCTAAATTTTACTCTTGGCTGTCGCTTAGCAACTTGAAGTTTCAGCTCCCTCCATAAATTTTCTATAGGATTAAGGTCTGGAGACTGTCTAGGCACCTCCATGACCTTAATGTGCTCCTTCTCGAGGTACTCTTTTGTTGCCTTGGCGGTATGTTTTGGATCATTGTCATGCTGGTAGACCCATCCACGACTCATCTTCGGTGTTCTGGCTGAAGGAAGAAGGTTCTCATCCAAGATTTTACAATACATGGCCCTGTCCATTGGCCCCTCAGTGTGGCAAATTCGGTCTGTACCTTTAGCAGAGGAACAGCCCCAAAGCATAATATTTTCACCTCTGTGCTTGACTGTAGGGATGGTCATAGTCAGCATTTTTCTTTTCTCCAAACACGGCGAGTCAAGTTGATGCCAAAGAGCTCAGTTTTGGTCTCATCTGACCACATCACTTTCTCCCAATCCTCTGAATCCTTTAGATGTTCATTGGCAAACTTCAGATGGGCCTGTACATGTGCCTTCTTCAGGAGGTGGACCTTACGAGCACTGCAGAATTTCAATCCATGTCGGCATATTGTGTTACCAATGGTTTGTTTGGTGACTGTGGTCCCAACTGCCTTGAGATCATTCACAAACTCCTCCAGTGTAGTTCTGGGCTGAACCCTCACTTTTCTCATCATCGTCCTTACCCTATGAGGGGAAACCTAGCATGGAGCTCCAGACCGAGGGCGATTGATGGTTGTTTTGTATTTCTTCCATTTGCGAATAATCGCTCCAAAAGTTGTCTCCTTCTAACCAACCTTCTTGCTGATGGTCTTTTAGCCCATTCCAGCCTTATGCAAGTCTACAATCTTGTCCCTAACATCCTTTGACAGCTCTTTGGTCTTGCCCATGGTGGTGAGGTTTGAATGGAAGAAAACGTTTCTGTGGACAGGTGTCTTTTATACACACAACAAGTTGTCGTTAGGAGCACCTTCTTCAATTGACTGGACTAATCTGTGCACCACATGAGCACATAGCGAGTCTGTGGGAGCCAGAATTGTTGGCCAGTAGGGGATCAAATACTTATTTTACTCACTGAACTGCAACTTAATTTATAATATATTTCTACCATGTGTGTTTTCTGAATTTTTGGTTGATATTCTGTGTCTATCATTTCAAATACACCTATGATAAAAAGTATAGACCCTAGTGGGCAAACTTACAAAATCAACAGGGGATCAAAAAAATAATTTTCCCCACTGTATATATATTTATCTAACATTTATAGATGATAACACCGGAAATTGTTGATCCAGGGATTAGCTGTTTGTCTCCTGGGGAATCAGGAAGGAATTTTGTTCACCCTTTACAGCAGATTTGACCATGTTTCATAGGGGTTTTTTGCATTCCTCTGGATCAACTGTGCATATGAGATTGTGTGCATGGATGTTTTCTATTTTTTTATTTATTGTTTTCTATTGGATGAACTAGAACAGGGGTATCCAACGTTTTGACTTTCCTGGGCCACATTGGAAGAAGAGGAATGGTCTTGGGCCGTACATAAAATCTACTTATAATGACAACTGATGAGCAGAAAAGGTTGGGCAGTTAATGGTCACTGATATAGATAATGTACCTATCTGAGTGATAAAACATATATAAACTTAATTAGAAAAGAGGGCAACATAAAACTAGTGCAATATTTGACACTGTTTTGGATAACCTAACACATCAATATCTGGTTTGATGGATGTAGTATTAATTCCCAATGAATTCCCAAGGTGCTCATCAGATATTTTGGTTCTAATTTTGCCCTTCATATTTGATCAAAATTGCTCACAATTATAGGTGCTGCCGAAAACGAATGCGGTGAATAAGGCGTGAATGTGAAGAGTGGGAGATTTTTCTTTGGGAAGATAAAATGTATAAAAATCCAGTAAAGCAACACTGTCAAATTTTTGTTCGGCCGCATGTGTTTGCTAAGTGTAAACGCATTTTTACAAAAAATGTTTTTTAAAAATTAACATTTTTAAGTACATTAACAATTTTGTGTTGGGTCATATTCATAGCCATCTTGGGCCGTGGGTTGGACAAGCCCTGAGCTAGGAGTGGTGTCAATTTTTTTTTTAACCCATGTACCTATATCTTCCCTCTCCAGCTAAAAGTACCCAGCTATGGACTCCCTATGTAATATCCATTGTTCTAGATTATTTGCCTAGAGCTGTCACATAGTCCTTCATACCTTTTTTTTTAATTAATACTAGGGCAGGTCAAATAAACACCTGTATTAACTGATATATTTGACTCATTTGAGCTTCACATATAGGGGAGTATGCAACATCCTCTCATGATGCAGTGCTCAGGCCTGGTGGCTAATCAACATTGTATTGACATGGAGATGTCCTTATGTTTTTTCCTAGCCCCAATAAAGAGGGTGTTTTTGGACCCCCAAAATGCATTGGCTATTCTTTGGATTGTCCCTGATGTTTATAGAATTAAAGAATATGTAAACCCCAAATTTCATATTCCTGATATGTGCCTGCAGTTCCATGTACTTGTATGAAAAACTATGCTGTTCTCTTTATATTGCTTCCTTTGTGTGAAATACCTTGGTGTTCCTGCCAGTCCCTCTGCTTTTCTATTAAAAACTGATCATACTAGGCATGAGAGCACAATGTAGTCAGTTCTTTAGCTGTGCTAGGAACTCAGCCTGCTCTGTTTCAATGATCAGACTGGCCCTGACCCCCCCCCCCCCCGCCCCCGCACATCCATTCATTAGGAAGACCAGTGTACTGCTGTTTCCCCTTCTTCAGCTTTCTAAGCTCCTTATGCTGCTGAGAATAGAGGGTATGGGACCACTTCTTATAATAATAATAAAAAGGGGGGGGGGGGGACAATGGAATTTATGTTATACTATTCATTTCTATTTTCAACTGAATAGGATGTTTTACAAGGTGAGATTTCACATATACTTTGAAGTCATATCTGGGCCATTAGCAGTGGTGCATAGAAGCCTCCTTCCCGAGAACTAGATCAATTGCATCAATATACTAAGAAAGCAATACCATTAGGATGACCTTATGGAACCGACACAATTTTTCTACTTTCCTCAACAATCCCTAGGCCAGATCACTGCCAGATGTTGAAGGGATTGATGTCATCTTTCGATCTAGGTTTGCACTATAGCGGCTTTGACACTAGCTAAATATTCTTGTGGTCAGTGTTGGAAAATTTGTCAGACAGGACTCATGGAGATAGACGTCCAAGGCAGCAGACTGAAATGACACTTACTGGTCTGGATTGACATGACCACACACTATTGAGGGATAGGATTTGCTCATATTTCATGTCAGGTTTGTCTGAGTTGAACTCGAACTTTCATGTCCCGGTTCACACTGATGCGATTCTGATGCAGATCAGATGTGATCCATAAGGAATAGATTTGCATGTTGTCTGAAAATACATTTTTTTTCTATGAAGGTCATTCACATCTATGCTGTGCAATTTTGATCCAGAAAATAAAAAAAGAGACCTGTGTGAGTTTAGTGAGGGTGTGGTGCAAATTTAATCTCCAGCTATGCCCAATCCCCTCAGAAATTATATTAAATTTGGACCTGTCAAAACACAAAGCACTGTGAAATCGCATCAATTCGCACCGCGTCAGTCTGTACCTAACCTAAATTGTACCTGTCAGGAGTGAAAGATGCTATGGTTGGCTTTAAGGCCTCATGCACACAGGTGCTCTGCAGCTCCTGTGTGCCAAGGCGTAACATCTCTGGGGCTTTCTGGCAACGGAGAAGCCACATGTGTCGTGTACAGCCAAAAATATAAGTGAATGGCTGTACCTGGCCATACTCGAGTAAACGCTCATGTCTTCTGTATCAGCGTTTACCTGTGTATGCACATACAGCAGTTCTCACCATATTTCATGCAGACGTCATTAGCAAGTATAAGGGCATGGCCACATACAGCTACTCACTTGTATTGGCAGCTGCACAAGGCATGTAGGGCTCCCCTGGTGCCAGGGATGTTACACCTTCTAACCATCCGTGTGCATGAGGCTTAACCACTTCCAGACCAGACACTTTTACCCCCTTCCTGACCAGGGAAATTTTCAGCGCTACACACTTTGAATGACAATTGCACGGTCATGCCACACTGTACCCAAATGAATTTTTTACCATTTTTTTTGAGACAGATAAAGCTTTATTTTGGTGGTATTTATTCACTGCTGGGATTTTTTATTTTTTTTGCTATGGAAATGATACTTTTCAAAATTTTTGGACTTTGTTTTTTTTTTTTAAATTTTGCAAATAAATAATATTTCATCATAAATCTTGGCCAAAATTTATTCCGTTATCTTTTTAGTAAAAAAAAAAAAAATCAAAATTAGTTTTATAACTAAAAATTATAATTTTTAAATATTTTTTTTACATTTTATTATATTATTATTTTTTATTTTTTCTACATACTGTCACCCTAGCAGTACAGTGTCACCATGGTGACACTGTACTACTTGTGGGGGGTGATGAAGATTTTTTTTTTTTTAACACTGATTGCTTTTACACCCATATAGGATGTAAAAGCAATCATTTCTCTTTCTGTCTGCATTCTTGCAGTCATTGAGAAATACAGAGTGAGCTGTGATTGGTCACAGCTTGTCACATGGTACAAGGCTGTTGTGAATAGCCTTGTACCATGTGACCTCTGTGATCACAGATTTCACACATAGTAAGCAATGTCACCAGTGACATCTTGCTTGCTACTTTGCATGTGATCACTGATTGGCCAATCAGTGATCACATGATCGGGACCTCGTACAGAGGTCCCGTCTGACGATCGGTGTTTCACTGTGTCCGGAGGACACAGTGGGCACTGGATCGCGGTGCTGCGCGCTTCCCAGGGAGCGTGCACAAGCAGGGTGCGGGGAGGCCGTTTATAAACGGCCACCCGACCCTGCACTGCCACCGTCCGGCCGTTTATACACAACGGCCGGTCGGGAAGTGGTTAACGGTCAAATACCTGGATCAATTTTTCAGCTAATAAAACTTGGAAGAAAGCAGAATTCCTTATCTCTATTACTAGTTGTGAGTCAGTGTTTAGGCATACAAAAGTCAAAAGGTTTGCAATGTCAGCCAGGCAACTAGCATTTTAAAAAAGAAATCTGCAATGGCAACCTGTATATATCTTCAGTGTTAGTATGTCCAGCTAAGACATTTTTCTTAATTTTGGAAACAGTGGGAAGGATTAGCATCTGAAAGGTTTTTACTACTATCCAGGACTCCCTTCTTTTGAGGACTATCAGAGTCTGAGAGAATTCTACTATTTTTCTGTCCTGCTGAAAAAGTGTTACTAGACAGAAAGCGAGGGGAACTTTCCAACAGCAATAGAAGTAAAAATGCTGTCCTTTAGTAGAGTAGAAACCAGAACCCTTGACAGAAATAAATATCTGTATCTTTGTGAAGATTTTCCCTCACTTCCTGTCTGGTGAAACTGTTGTCAGCAGCACAGGAAGTAAGGGTAAATCTCAGCACTGGATAGTAATAAAGACTCAGACATTCTAATCCTTTCCAACTTTATTCAACAGTAGAAAAAACATATTTGACTCATCTTACACTTCAGTCTGCATCCTATTATATAATACTGCACAGGTAAATGAAGCACAGCGACAAGAACAAATTTAGACAGTACAGCCTTTCCTGCACCAATTTAATTATTTTGTTTTCTAAATTAATAATTCAAAAAAAACAACAAAAAAAAAAAAAAAAAAAATTCATGAAGCAGGTTGATATCCTCCATCATGGTTGTGGCAAATGCTAATTATCATGAAAAGACTTGTCTTGCTGTCACAGTATAATCACAGCAATCTGATGAATGGCGATAACCATAACCGGGGGCTGTCAGCATGTATTGAAGGAAACCCTGTCTGCTGTGAGGATGCCCTGTGCAGGTCGTGTCCCCAGATAGCGGCTTGTCAGCATCAAAAAAGAACCAATACTTGTCAAAGTGGTTCAGGGAGACCAATAGAGAAGGAAGGGGGGAGTGATCTCTACTAGTCTCTCTTGCAGATAAAGGATTTTTAAAAAAAAGAGGGTTTTGTTTTATTCTTGGGTATATGGCTGATGTAGCTGCGGTCAGGATCCCACAACTTGAAAAACGTTAAAAATGTAAACTAGGTACGATCAGTCACCTCTGGCTCCTATAGAATAAGCCTTCTGTGCCCCACAGGATGCTTCGCATGGCAAAAGTTCCACCCCTGTAAGGTTCTATGGAGCACTGGGAAATGGGAAATCACCATGGGAGGGGGTGGGGAAATTGGTGTCTGTGGTGCAGGATGGAAATAGGCGGTCTGGTTGGCTCCTCCCAACGTCTTCCATTCTATGCCAGAGGTGAACGTAACTTCAAAAATACTGCCATTTTCCTAACACTGTGTCCTTGATGGCATCCACGTATTGCGCTGGTACCCAGTATACCCAGTAGTAAGATGCTTCAGTAGGACCCAGCTGGAAAGCCTGCCAACATAGCAAAAGAAACACCAATGTAAGCAGAGATTATGGGAAGCAAGTGCACTATATACACACACTGGCAATAGTCATGAGAACATTATCGGGTGCAGGGCTTGAAAAAGCCGCTCGCCCAATGCGAGGGGAAATCCTTGTGTGGCAAGCAGCGGCGTCCCGAGGCAGGTGCGGTCCACACACGGCCACTCCCAGTATGATGTGAATGGACAGTGGCCCTTCCTCACTGAGCTCGCCCCACTGTCAGAGGGGAGAGGAGGGGAAGGTGCAGCTCACTGGCACCTCCAGGACAGCCCGCGCTAGCAGTGAAGCCCTTGTGTCCCTTGGTAACAGGCTGGGAGTAGAGGAGCCCGCACTTTAGGAGTGCCAGGACCTGCCCCCTCCCCACTGATCCCTCCATCTACTTACCTGCTGCTAATCCGGAGACCTCATCACCACACACAGCGACATGTCTGAGCTCCAGAGGAGAGGCCCGGGGGAGCCGAGCACGACAACAGCAGTGACAGGGTATCAGCAGCCAGGGCATGGGATTGGGGGCAGGTCACCTGTCTGCATGGAGTGTCCTGGGCCTGACTGAGTGCAGGTGAGGAGGGCCCCTGACAGGGGGCACTGCCTTCATCTCTATGGGGTAACTCTTGGCTTCTGTGGTCTGGCCTCAAAGCATACACTGATTTCTGCACTGAATTTCAGCCATTCCCACTCTGCAAAGTCAGTTTACAAACTTCAGAATAATAATAGGAGCAAAGATCTCCACACATTTAGGGTAGGTTCACACTCATTGCTCTGAAAAGTGATCCATGGTGGATTGTTTTTCAGAGTGTGGCTAAGCTGCCCCTGTCAGAGGTTCAAGTGATTTTAAAGGTAATTTTATTTTGAATAAGAAAAAACAACAAATATGTCTATACTTACCTGCTGCGTGCAGTGGTTTTGCACAGAGCAGCCCCGATCCTCCTCTCTTCCTGGGTCACCCAGCGGCGCTCCTGGCCCCTCCCTCCTACCGAGTGCCCCCAGAGCAAGCAGCTTGCTATGGGGCACCCGAGCCGCTGCTCTGCGTATCAATTCACATGCAGAGCTGCAGCTCGTCCCCCGCCCTCCCTCTCCTTATTGGCTGTAATTGCACCCTCCTAGATTGTAAGCTCGAAAGAGCAGGGCCCTCGAACCCCTCGTGTATTGTATGGTTACTGTATTGTCTCATGTACTGTCCCCCACTTTAATGTACAGAGCTGAGCAAACCCTTTGGCGCTATATAAATACTGTATAATAATAATATTGCTGTTAGCTTTATGTCAATTTAAACATATTATAATTGCAGTTTTTTTTTTATATTTTGGACTCTATATTCTAAAGAAAAATGTAATTTCATAAGCTTGAAGGGGGTGTGGTTGGAGGTGGACCTGGGCAAGGTTTGGGTGGAGCAACTGGTGGAGTGTAAGGTTTGTGCCTGGCTAGTAGGTCTAGACTCAAAATTTTAAGCCCTGATTGGATGGATTAACAAAATTCAACTGCCCTGAGAGGTCTTTAGCAAGACAAAACCCAATAAATACCTTTTAACTATACTTCACTATGGGCATTTTTTCTTGATCGCTTGTGGGGAGCATCTTTTCTCTCAGATATCGTTGGTGTACAGTGGAGGAGCAGTGTTTTCTTTGGTGGAGCCGTGATCATTTTCTGCCATCTAGTGGATTTCTTCTGCCTAGCTCTGTATCATCGTGTGGACCTTCATTGATCAAGGGAATACATCTACCCTCCCCATGCTGATGACTACCTTATGAACTCCATCCTTCCTACACTGCACTATTTATGTGCACTTCTGGTTAGTGTGCATTTTTACCCTAGGTCACCACAATTGGGACTTTCTGATCACTTTTTATTGTGTCACATTTTATTTCTAGAGCTGCACTTTTATTTTATTATTAAAACCCATATATACTTGGCCTTATGGGAGCATTCATGTTTTGTGTAAAGTGGGTTGAATGGGAAGGATTGCAGGCAATCCCAGTGACAGTTTGTATTGCAAAAAACAAGACAGACTGACCAAGTCTTTCTAACCTTCCCTCAGATCTCTTGGGATAGGTGTAGAAAGGTTAATGTAAAGATCCAGAGTACCATTCCTGACCGCTATCACATATCAAAGGCTAGTTGTAGAGCTACGCCACCTAGGAGATTTTAAATCACATACTACTGTGAAATGCAACCACTCACTGACAGCCACCTCTTCAGTAGCTCCTTGAGCAGTTAAATTGTAAAGGAGCATGCCATTAAAACTGTCCTGTTAGCCTAACCTAAAACGCTAGCCATAAACATGAGAGAATGCGGCATTGGGACATCAGATTTTTGCTTAGCCTTTAAACTAACTAAAGCCAATTTTTTTTAATGTTAGGATTTCAACAGAGTAAGAAAAAAAAAAAAGTCAAAAAAACACCCATTTTTTGTCGTCATCTGTGTCCCATTGGGGAGATTTGCCTTCACTTCCTCTTTCACAGACAACAGGAAGTGAGAGGAATTCAATAGTGAAGGATATCCTCTTAGAAAGTGATCACTGCATTGGTAACAACTCAAAAATGTGCATTTCCCTCACTTCCAATCTCAGTGACAGATGGTCAGAAAGTGGGTAATGTCCCCAGCTGGGACACAGGAATAAAAACCTGCCAAGGGTTCTAACTTTATTTGATCCAAAACTACTAAAAATGCTTTGCCTTTAGATATACATTAAGCATAGCACACAGATTCTACTTGGGAGTCAGTGCTGGGAAAAGGTCCTGTGGAACCCAAACCGAACATACTAAAATGCTGAAACCAATGATGCACATGCAGCAAAAAGCAACAGGTTCACTTAATTTCTGCCATCCTCAAAAGTATATACTAACCTTCAGTCCTCCCCTAGGAGAGGGAAGTGACATACGTGGTACTTCTGGGTATAGGGAGCTTGTGACCCCCCCCTTCCCCCTTTCCCTCACGTGACAGCACAGGTGAATGGAGACTGGCCCCTGAGGTACTCCGTGATTTCACAAAGGAGTAGGGAGAGAATCATCAGCCCTGTTTGGGCAACTGGCAACTTAGAGCTTACACACGACTTTCTCACTTGACTCCTATGGGCAAACAAACCAGCAGAAGACTGAAGGAAAATAAGTATGTTCAGACTGGGAAGGCAACACTTAACTGAATCTGGATAAAATTACACATACCTTGGTGATTACAATACCTACATTAAAAAAGAAGTTTGGGATTGTAAAAAAAAAAAAAAAAAAAAAAAAAAAAAATATACTCACCTAGGTGGATACAGCATCGATCCGATGCTGCATCTGTCCCTTCTAAGACTGAGAACTGAGCGATCAAAGACCGCTGACAGCCAGTAACGGTCAATCACTGACTCTCTGCTCTGCCCCTCCAGTGCTCACTGAATTACCAGGCTGTGGAGGGGGTGGGACTGGCCTGCTCAGGCTCTCAGTGGATCACTGAGAGACTGAGTATCTGCGTGGATCCTGACACTAAATTCGGGATCTCTCCAGAGTCCGGTCCGGCTCTGTGACGTCAGCAGGCTTTGGCCCATTGCCAGCTGAAAACAGGTCACAGAATGAAGTGCACTCCTGTGATCCATAGGAGAAGTAGGCCTAAAGGAGCTTTGGCCCTACTTCACCTTTAATAATTCTGCTTAACTACGAATTACACAAAAGGTTATTTTTAGATGGGGCAAACTATGTGTAAAACAAGGCTCAGGGCATAAACAAGCTTGGAAAATACATAAAATGCTCACCATCATGTGATAATCTTCATGTTCTTCAATAGGCTCAGAGATTACATTTTTAATAGAACCCATGGGGATTTTTCTCTGTCCTCTCTGCAGAAAAATAAAAGCATAAATATCCTAAGATATATTGCAAAACCCTATCAGAATGGAAACAACTGATCAATAAGGCTCTCCCATTATACCAGCTAAGGGTTCTGCTTCAATAGCATCTGGGATCTTTGGACTCAATCTCTTCCTACAATTTGACCTGTCTGGATGTGTTTGTAGATCTGTCTAAGGCTACATTCACACTAGCTTCGTCAGCAGGAGTCAGACAGGCGTTTGAGATGCGTTAACGCTTCCCAAATGGCTATGAAAATTCTGCACATGGCAGCACACAGTGCTGTTCACACTGAAGAGTTAGCGTCGTGGCAAAACTTACGCCTCATGTCCAGTCAGGAGAAGTTGAAGCCTCCCATTAAAGTCTATGGTGATGCTCCTGAAACGCTTGGCAGGCGTTTGCAGAGCATTAACACCTTTAAACTTCATTATAGGCGTTAGACAAGCATTAAAACCATACCACAAATGCCTCAAGAACACGCATAGGGCGTTTGAGTAGCGTTAAAAACGATTCCCAAACTCCTGTCTAAAGCCTGTCAAACGCTATAGGGGCGATTGGCAAGAGTTAGAAACAAGTGTTAACGAGCCCTTACTGTAAGAAGTTATGTTTGTACCTTCCAAATTTCTGTAAAAAGGTTTCACTCTGATAATTGTACAGCTGGTGCCATTCAAGACGCAGACTGTTAATGGTTTTATTACTTTACGGCTTTTAGTCATTGCACCCATGGACAAACTACAATCACGTGACCCAAGCCAGTTACAAGTTTGATTTCTTTTTTTCAGAAGGACACAATGAAAGCATGAATTAGTAAGCTGAACCAATACACATAATACAGTTCATTGCTAACCCATATTAGCACCTTTGTGATGTGCTGTATTGAAAAATGGTCAAATAAGGAATTATCCATACACCAGGTATACTTGACAATTGCCAACAATACAATTATTTTTAGATTTTATACCAGGAGATGAGTATTTTGTGTTACAGGGTTACCGCAGCTGAACCTCAATTTAATTTTGCGAACAAACCTAGTGTGACCTAGATTGTAAGCTCCCAGGATCAGGGCCCTCCTATCCCTCTTGTATTGAACTGTATCGTCTCCCGTTATATAGTAAAGCACTGAGCAAACTGTTGGCGCTATATAAGTCCTGTATAATAATAATACAACTATGTAATTATCTAATCACCAAACATTCCAATAAACAAAATTGGAACATAATTTTTTGGCGACTACACAAAGCAGTAAAAAAAAAAAAAAAGTTAGAATCTTCATCAATTCTAGATTTTTATACATGCCTTATTGGGGAGATTTACCAGCACTACCTGAACAAGGGACACCGACATCCCCACTTTGCTTTTTAAAATGCCTTTAGTCTCCATTTACCAGAAGTTTCTCACTTTTGCAGCAAGCAGGTGACAAGTGCAGGTTTGGCATGCCATGGTTTCAGATAGCCAATTTACTGCTGTGCTGTAAATGTAGTCCTGAATAGCAGGATCTCAGATTACACACAGACACAAGTTGGATAGACAGCCTTTTTTAAATCGCTCTGCCCTTAATGAATTTTCTGTAGCAGGATCACTGATCAATTCAGCTCCTGGGCTTGTTGCTGGAACCAACTGTTAGTGACAGCCATGGTCCAACGCCGATTGCAGCAAGAATATGCCGAGTTCAGGCCCCATTGTAAAACTGCACTGTAACAAATCGCTGCCATCTGGGTGCCCTCAAGTGGTAAAAGTATAGACACATTGGGGTTAATTTACTAAAAAGGCAAAATAGACTGTGCGCTTTGCTGCCATGTGCAGTTGCACTCTACTAAGCTCTGGAACACCTGCTCTTGCAAAGAGGAGCTCAGCTGACTTCCATCTTCCAATCATGTGCAATCAAAAATGCTGTTTTTTTAGTTTACCTTGCATATGACTGAGTATTGTTTGCAAAAGTGAATCTTTACCTCAGTTACTAAGCTTTGGAGCACCTACACTTTGCAAAGTGCACAGGGGTGGCAAAAAAAAATGCATAGTTGAGCCACAAAAAAAACAACAACTCTACTCTAAGCTGCTATAGGCAGCAGACAGGGGTGTTTATGTACAATGGAACTTCTCCTTGCGCCCGCAACAAAGTTCACCCAACATGTAGTGATAAGCAGGCAGTAAGCCCGCCAAACGCAACACAGTCAAGCCAATGGGGAAGTGCCACAAATTCCCATTTGTTGGAAAAAGGGGTTAAAACAGGCAGTGGGGAGGCATCACATCGCTTTCTCACCACCAGGATCAGGCTTCAGAAGAATGGGAAATTAGATGTATGTATGAAATATCTTGCAACTTCCTCTGTCTATGAAAACCATTATACAGTGAAAAGACAAAAAAAAAAAAAAAAAAAAAAAAAAAAAAGGTTTTGGGGGGTATTTACAAAGGAGACATCAATTTAGGATGATTAATTCACAAAGGCTGTGATAGGTATATGGGTCTCTGGGTCATCTGTGCTTTTCAAAGGCTGAATTCACACAGCCAGCTGTTTGCCTGTCTCTGATTTCATTTGTTTGGCTCACTGAACTAGAAAATGTTTGCAGCAAGTTAAAGCTAGAGTTGATTTGTTTGCCCTTTGCAATTACTGTATGTAATTACTAATGGCAAATAACTTAGCAGTTTATGAATAATGAAAGCCTATATTGGTCCATTAATATTTAATTGCTTGTTCATCTTTTCCCTATTTACATGAGCAGGATTGATCAATATAAAGTTAGCACAGAATGCATTCAATAAAAAAGGAACAAGAGTAAAAGGAAGCTGGTGGATACGGTTACTGGTGTACCCCAGGTCAGTAAGATTTTAGTACTTACTGAAATTCATTTCTTGATATCTGAATTTTCTTGATATCTGAATTTTTAAAGTGCCATGCGCATCAAAACTGATTTTATTTACCATTCATTGACGGACACAGGAACTCATCCACAGTCAGGCTGTACTGCTTCCTACAATGAGTTAGGACACTGGAAAACCCCACCACTGTAAAACTGATCACTTTTAATGAACAGCCAGTTCAATTCTAGGACATTTTAAAACAGCCAAAAAACAAAAAGTTGTTTGGCAACAACTTTTACCACACTGCTGGTATTTTTTTCTTAAGGACTTCAATCAAGACTCCTTGCTATACTGCTGCTTGAGCTGGTCTCTACATAGCAGCATATGTGAATCTTCAATTCCACCGCACTTGCTTCGGAGGCCCGTAACCAAACCCCACTAGAGAAATTTATCCAGCATCTCCAGAAGGAACAGACGCCTGCAATTTCGAACCTGGGACCCTTATGGTCATTGTATCCTTTTTGTCAGATTCTCCTGCAGCTCTGTTGGGTGAGACAAAGGCCTTGCTCATGTCCACAGGGACCTCAGTGTCCACTCTGGACCTCCTGTTTGTGCCCAGTTACTGAGACAATTTGTCCACAGAGGCTCCAAGCATGACTGGGCACCATCTCCAGCAGAACCAGCCTTTGAACCCCAAAATCTAGTTCAGCCCAACGGCCTGGTCACCATCTCTGATTCAAAGTTCCAACAGTCCTCCTCTATAGAGGTGGATATTGAGCCGCCTGCTGATGACTCGGATTTACAAAGGGTTGCCCCAAACCTGATTGATAGGGTGTACAACCCTTTATCTGGGGGTTCAACCTGCTGTCACAGGTCTTAGGTATTTTAGAGCTCCTAAAGCTGCCAAGACCTTCCCACTACAACTGCTATTTAAGTCATTCCTCTATGAGGACTGAAAAAACACTGAAGGGTCCTGGGCCGCTCCTGACAGTGTGTCAAAACTCTTCCCTTTTGTGAGAGACCTCAAATTGACAGCGCCATTCCATAGCAGATGCACCAGTTATCCACAATTACAGGCAAACCACCTGATAGGTTAGAAATGTCCTTATCTTTCAGAATTTCACTGACATACAGCTTAACTCCCTGCTCAGATCCAAGTTTGAACTCACTGGAGTGTCTCTCCATCCTATATTGGTGATGACCTTAATCTGCTAAACCATGTCAGAGCAGATAAAATCCTTTAAAAGAGAACTCCTCCACTGCCAAAGCAGGCCCCTGTGTCATTGAGCGATTAGAAAAAAAATTGTCCGGAGTCTTGTGCTTAAGTTGTGATGGCTTTTAGCAAGCATCAAAACTTGTGTCTTGCACTGAATTAATGTCTGTATAGATGAGTAAGGCACTCTGGCTAAGTATTTCGGACGCCAATAATATGTGAAAGGAACATCTGACTTGGTTGTCCTTGGGGGGATGCCATCTCTTTATACCTGCGCTTGACCTTAGCAATGCTGGCAATGGCTGGGGATATACTCCTGCTTCAGTGCAGGAGGAGTGTGGAAAGGTCAGAGGAATCCCACCGTATTCCAACAACTACTGCAGTCATTGTATGTAAGCATTTAGAGTCCATTTCCCACTGAGACAGAAGGGCTCACAGTTCTTTTGCTGATAACATTCCATCTATTCAACATCCCCCAAAGAACCCGCTCTAAGCAGTAGACTTTACCTCCACCCCAGTGCTTTCTTCTTGCATGCGAAAAACAAAATGGCGCTGGGAGAGGACCACACACGAAGAGTCTAGATAGGTTAGTGACAAAATGACAGATACAGCAGGATACAATTACAAATAGGGGAATAAGCGTACAATAGTAATGAGTTCAAAATGGGGTGGCGATGAAGCGACAAATGGAGACGGGGAAGTCCATAGTCAAAAGGGTCCTAGGTGGTGGATGGAAGGTGAAGGCAGCTCCCCATAGAGCGAAGCAGAACTCCGTATTTACTTTCTTCTTGCATTTCTATTGTGGAACACTTCGGAGACTCTCCATAAAGAGTGTATTTCCTGGACTCTCACAGTCTGAGTCTTTTTTCTGAACCTCACACGTGCAAGCCTCACTTGGAGATGGCCTCTCCTGGATTTAACGCTGGTAATTTTGCCTCATCGACAGGCAATGAAGTTCAGTTTAGGCCCTCACTGAAGAGATCATCTTTCTGTGGACCTGTGCTCTTTTCCTTACCTTAGCCATCTTCAGCTTCCCCATTTTTGTTGGAGTGACTGGGCTCAAAGAGGCATCCAGGTGTTCCTCGATATCAAGAAGTCCCAGATGCTACTTTGCTGTTTATGGCTGGAGATAGAGAGGTGTCTTCCAGTCACCCTGGAAAGGTTTCTCGTTCAGTGGGTCTCCACATCTGGCTCACTAAAACCACCTTATCGGATCCTTCTGTGAGTGTGTACAGACCAGAGCTCTGTTGGACATCTTTTGAGTTCTCCAGGATCTTCTCCTGGGAAGGTCTGCAAACTCTCCTTTTTGACCACAATGGTTCTCCTGGTGACAAATCTGAAGACCGCTTCCGGATCTCCCCATCGAGGTGCAAGGATTCAGCAGGAAGTATTCATATCTGGATGGCCTTGTACTTACCTGGACTGACAGCAGATGGAACATACAAGGATCCTGTTGCATGTATTCCTTGTGAAGGAAATGGAGTCCAGAAGTGTCCATGGGACCTGATCATCAGAAAGTGGGTGCTTCAAAACAGCCGCTGACGAAGTTCCTTTAGATTCCTTAATTGTTCCTGCTCCCAGACGAATGCTTCTATTAGTGAGTCTGGAGATGCCTGCCACCTGCTTCTCAGTGAAAGATGCAGCATGAGCTTGGGACAAGTGTCCGATTCCAAGGGGTTGATTTACTAAAGACAAACAGACTGAACTTTGCAAAGTGCAGTTGCTCCAGAGCTTAGTAAATGGAGGCAAAGCTTCACTTTGAAAAGAGTACCTAATCACGTGCAATATATATATATATATATATATATATATATATAGCAGCATTTTTGCTTGCACGTGATTGGAAGATGGAAGTCAGAAGAGCTTCTGCTCATTTACGGAGCTTTGGAGCAACTGCACTTGCAAAGTGCACAGTCTACCGTAAATCAACCCCCTAGAATCATATTGCAGAATTAGTCAGACAGGTGGCCAGTGTTATCAGTCACCTCAGCCACACTAAATGTTGGGTGGAAGGATTTCTGCTTATCCTTCAGATAGGGCGTTTTTGGTGCACCAGTTGGGTTGTGAGGTACCCTTGGTTCTGCCTAACCCCTGTTTGTCCATCCATTGAAATGTTATGTTGTGGGGGCTCTTACAAAATTGATATCTTGATCCAAAATTGGTTGCCTGACCAGGCCATTTCATTGTGTATTGCTTTCTCACAAGACTGAGGAGGGACCATTTGGGCACTGGCTTACAACTTTTTCTGTAGATCAGTGTCCAGTTTGCCAGTGTAGGCAGCAATATAACGAAACTATAATAGAATTGCGGTGTACCTCAATGGACCACAAGAAAATATTTTTAGGGGGAAGTACAAAGTTCATATTTATTTAGTTTCCAGTAGATGCTAGAGAGTTAAATCAACTGATAGCAGGCAAGAACAAATAGAGTAGCAGAGTAATAAATTCTGGCAGAGAATCTCATTGTTGCAGTATTCAAAAACTGATATTAAGCTAGGGGCTGAATCAGAGCATAAGGCTGCATTTATAATTAAAACATCACTTTTGGCTGGACTGGCCCTTTAATTTTGGAATGTATGTTTTTATAAGTGATCGCAACTTCTTACTCACCTTTTGTACCAATCCATAGCTGGTCTTGCTCCAGTTTAAATGTCAGTCTGACCTTCCCCCCAGACTTATTGTACATACCGGATATTGGCGTAGTTGGAAGCCGCTCCTGCAACACACAGTAATAGTGAGCACTAGCTGTGGCTGTTGTATTGGCAATCATGAAATCACAATTCATCCAGCTCAGTGAACAAGCATTCTACTGCTCAGGTATAAAATTGTACAAATCACTTTGCAACATGCAATGCTAACTGTGTTACGACCCATCGTTTACTACAAATCACAAATATTTCATAGATTAGGCAAGCAGCTTCAGAGTTTTATTAAAAAGGATAAAATCAACTCTCAGGTTAAATCTGCTATCAGCTTAAGGCCCATTCATACCTCTATTTTATCACACTATAAAGCTAAACTCCAGGAATCAGATAAATACACAGATGAAATACACATAAGGGAACCTCTTACTATCAAATGGTTTGTATTTTTGATAATGCAGTCCTGCGATTTACAGAGCCCTGCCGCATAGCCCAGCCTAATCTGGCAGGGCAGGAGACTTTCTCTGCTGCAGTTAAAAGGATAAGTTCACCTTTCAACAGAAAATATTAAATGCAATTTCTTTGAAGGTAAAAAAAGAAAAGAAAAAAAAAAATGTGCATTTATTATTTTTTGAGGAAGGAGCCTTTAAAAGCACTACAACAGCAATCAGCAGATCGCTGATTCCACACAGGTACATTGAACGGGCAAGCAGATACTTACTGACAGGAAGAATCAATGGAGTTACCACAGTGCTCAACAGCACCATTGTAGTTCATTGAGAACTACAAGCCAACAGCCACTAAGGCTGTTTGGAATTATAGTATCCCATTCACAGAATACTGTTAATGAGCGACGCGTTTTATTTTTTTTAGGTTGGGGGGGGGGGGGGGGATCTGGTCCTTTCATAACAGGTTACATGTATGGGTGGTCAATATTCTCATGTTCCGACGTCGTTCAACCTACAGTGTGGAGTTGATTTTATTTGCTGCATGCTTTGTGATCTATTTAGGTAGTAAGTGCATTAAAAAAAAAAAAAAGCGTATGTTTGTTTGGGGACAAAATATAAGCACTGTAAGTGATGGTATTTTTGCCTACCCTTCTGCCTGTAGGCACTCTCAGTTCCCCTGAAGAAGTGAGTAACCTCTAAATGCTTTGGAACGTGAAAAAAAATTGTACACAAATATTTTAAACACAAACTGTTTACACAGCAACCCATATAATATTTTAGTGTATTTTCTGATGGGTTATATAAAAAAAAAAAAAAAGTTCATTTTATACAGCTATTTATAAAGTAGTTGAAATGCCTGAAAAGTTCCAGTCCATAGCGGTCTCTTTTTGTGTGTACAATAATTCAGAGATGTTGGCATTCACTATGTAATGTGGAAACAAATTGCTTTGTACTTAATGAAAAATAAAAATCATCTGTGGCCAGCCTTAGATAAAATTCTGTTAAACAGAACTCATCTCATCTAAGATTTATTGGGGTAAGCCCCTTTCACACAGACAGACACAATGGGACCATCCATTGCCCTTTATAAAGTGGCGTATGTACATCTACCTGCATCCAAACTGCTAAAAACAGACAGATGAGGGATCCGTTCCCAATCTGTCTAGCAGAACGAATCGGAATACAGTTGGATGAAAATGTACTGATGGTTCATTTACATCCGAGCGCCCATTGAGAAAAGCTGTCTGTGTCCGTGTCAACTTTGCACAAGCGGAGGGGACACGGACCTGTCATACACCTGCTCAGCAGGGTGATTAGCAGACAGATTCCCCACTGAGTGGGCAGATCCACTGAGTCCAGAGAGTCTGTGGGCCTTAAAAACAAGCAACTTCTTCCCACTTCAATTTAAAAATTCAACGTGTAAAACGCACCATACCAAAATGCATGCCAACTATGCATTCAAACATGCATTAAAATGGAAATATTTTCAATGGCAGAGCCGAGAATGCAAGGTGAAAATGAAATGCGTGTTAAGGTGACCCAGCAGCTATGAAACAGCAATATCTCTTCATTTGCTTGTTTCTAGAAACACCACAGATGACGGTCAATGAAAAGGCCGCCCACATTTCTTGTTGAACACTGGACAGCTGCTACGGTTAGAGGACAGATGACTTTACACTCCCAATGGTCTGAAGAGCAGGAGCATGCTTTCTCACCTGTACTCCTTTTATAGATGTCATTACATCTTCGGGTTTTCCTTTATCCAGCACTTTTCTATGTTGCTAAAAATATATAATATTAGATTAGAGTTCAGAGCAACAGGAAACTAAAAGGAAAAAAAAACAAAAACAAAAAAAAAACACAAAAACACCGTGAAGTTGTACACCAGGCAAAACATGCTGTATTTTATAGCACAAGTAAATGGGAAAGTTTAGAACCTGTGTCTGATTTTTATTACGGCCGTTTCCCTGTTAGGGAGTGTTTTTCTCTCTTCTTGTCTTATCAACTGATTGAGAAGAGTCAGAAGAGATGGATTTTATATATAATAGAACCTTGATTAGGCTTTGTCTGAAGTTGCACTTTAAGTAGTTACACCTCAAATCAGATAAGATAATAATAATAATAATAATAATAATAAAAACACGTATTACATTTAAAAAAAAAAAAAAAAAAAAAAAAAACCTAGAGGCACTTAGTCCTAGGCTCTTACAATTAGGTACACTGGACAAAGAAAGCCAGTAAAAGAAAAATGTATATTCTAGGCAAAGATATTATATATGTACAGTATGTATGTTCGAAGAGCCAGGTAAACCTCTAAATAAGCAATTAAAATACATTGCACGTGACCGGATTTGCCAAAATATTTTGTAAACACTTCTCAGCCAGTCTTCCCACAAACTGCACAGCCAGACGGGGACACTATTTATTTTTCAGACTTGCAGCTCACTGTGTTACCAGCATACTGAATTATAAAAAAATACTCATGGTAAGAATATATTGCTAATTGGTAACATCTGTCAAAAAAAAAAAAAAAAAAAAAAAAAAAAAACCACCACACCGATGGATTGTCCAAGAGGTTACATGTCTTTTGAAGGGTACAATATCTGACATCAGGGGCGGACTGACCATTTGGAAACTCAGGCACTGCCCGAGGGCCCGGGGTCAGTAGGGTGCCCCATGAGCTGCCCCTGGTACCTTTTTCATAGGCTTTTGAGTTTGGGCAAGAACACAGGGGCCCCCATGATCCCCTATTGCCCAGGGGCCCCATGATCCCCTATTGCCCAGGGGCCCAATGAGTTGTCAGTCCACCCCTGGCTCTGTTGAAATGCAAATTAGAACATGGATATTTGTCCACAGTCGCTTTTCCTGGTCTTCTTCCAGCCCACGGTCTTCTCCTTTTGGCCACTGGGCAGCCACTGATGATATAACTCCTGTATATGTATTATACTGTCAAGCTGCTGATGCTGTAACTCCAGCAAATGTATTATACTGCACTGGCACCTGGTTCCATTCTTGGCATCTTACAGACACCAGGAGTGGTGCATAGAATGTGTATGGAATGTTTGTAAGAAATGAGGGTACATCTCCAACAGCAATACAGATATAAAAAAAAAAAAAAAAAAAAAAAAAAAAAAGCATTTTTATTTCTATTTAGCAGCAAAGGGAAAGGATAAAACTCGTTTCAGCTTTTGATTTTGGGAGGAAGGACTATAATCCATTTTATTTTACATTTACCTTCTGTCTGCACAGTGGCTCCTTCTTGTTCTCTTCTTCTTTCACTTCTTGTTGGATGGTTTCTTTGGGGGTGGTAACAGCCAAGACATCATTAATAGTGGATCCTACTACCATTACTTTTGCCCCATTGGTGACTTTGATTTCCCTTAGCGTTTTGTCCTCGGGAAGTAACCCCTTAAACATGACTTTCTGCATAGCTGGTGGAAGACCTGCTCAGGAAAAAAGGGAGAAGAGTCAGAATTATCCGAAGAGAAATGTTCAGCAAATTGGTGTCAGTCGAATGTTTAAACAAACATTTGGTTGCTAATTTTCATGCCATGCCATACGACAATCTCATAGAGCTAGCTTAAAGTGGAACTACACCCCTTTAGTTTATGAAATCACTTTGTATTATAAATAATCAACATTTTGTTTTAATAAAATTGCTTTTTAAACATTTCCTGTCTACATACACACTCCAGCAACAGCTACATATCATTGTTGTGGACTGGCCTCCTGGAAGAACAGTATTTATTGCCTGCACAATGTGTGATGACATGGCAGCTTATGGTCTCCACCAGTGTGGTTAACACAGGAGCACAAAAGAGAAGCAGTTGTCACCCTGCAACAGGAAGTACCTTCATGGCAGGACCACCAAGTATTTTAATGAAATCTGCAAATTTAAAAAGATTAAACTTAATGCTTGGAATTACATTAATATATTAAAGCTTGTACACTGTTCAAAAAAAATTAAAGAAACACTTTGAAAACACATCAGACCTCAACGGGGAAAAATATGCTGGATATCTATACTGATATGGACTGGGTAATGTGTTAGGAATGTAAGGATGCCCCATCGTTTGATGGAAATGAAAAATTATCAACCTAAAGAGGACTGAATTCAGACACCCCGAAAATCAAAGTGAAAAAAAATTATGCAGCAGGCTAGTCCATTTTGCTGAAATTTCATTGCAGAAACTCATAATGGTACTCAGTAGTTTGTATGCCCCCATGTGCTTGTATGCATTCCTGACAACATTGGGGCATGCTCCTTATGAGACTATGGATGGTGTCCTGGGGTATTTCCTCCCAGATCTGGACCAGGGCATCACTGAGCTCCTGGACAGTCCGAGGTGCAACCTGGCAGCGTCCAATGGACCGATAAATTATATCCCAGGAGGTGTTCTATTGGATTTAGGTCAGACGAGCATGGGGGCCATTCAATGGGATCAATTCCTTCATCCTCCAGGAACTGCCATCATACTCTCACCACATGAGGCCGGGCATTGTCCTGCACCAGGAGGAGCCCAGGACCCACTGCACCAGCATAGGGTCTGACAATGGGTCTGAGGATTTCATCCCGATACCTAATGGCAGTCAGGGTGCCATTGTCCAGCCCGTAGAGGTCTGTGCGTCCCTCCATGGATATGCCTCCCCAGACCATCACTGACCCACCACCAAAACGGTCATACTGAACAATGCTACAGGCAGCATAACATTCTCCATGGCTTCTCCAGACCCTTTCATGTCTGTCACATGTGCTCAGGGTGAACCTGCTCTCATTTGTGATTGTTTTGAGCAGTCTGCCCTTACCAAATCACAGATGAGCAAACTTATTTACATAAATTAGGATACTATTATTCAATAAAAACTCTACCACAAAAACGATCCGAGGAAGACATGTTAGTGATTAAACACAACAGACGGAGCTTGGGTGACGTCATCACCCAGGAAGTAACAGTGATTCTCTGTATGTATATAGGCAGCTGATGTTCCACAGTGCACTTTATAATGCAATTACGTGCCCTTTATAACGTGAGTGGTTTACTGGAATGTTTTTTAAATAAAAGGTTTTAAAAATGGTAAAAAACGCTATAAAGTGTTTGGGGTTTTTTTTTTTTTTACTGTCTGCCCTGAAGACCGGAGGAGGAGGAGAAAAGGTGCATGCCGGATTGAAAGATTTGGGAACCCTATTTAAAAAAGGGAAAGATGCCATATATGACCCAATATAATATATGGGTCATGGACAGGGGCGGACTGACCATTTGGAAACTCGAGCACTGCCCGAGGGCCTGGGGTCAGTAGGGGGCCCCATGAGATGCTCCTGGTACCTTTTTCATATGCTTTTTTGAGTTTGGGCAAGGACACAGGGGCCCCATGAGTTGTCAGTCCGCCCCTGGTCATGGATAGAAAGTCAGAGCACAACTGGTGTTGCATAGAGGTGAAAGAAGTTGGAATTTGACACGATTATGATACTGGATGCACAAAGTGAGGTGGTTTAAGTTGAAAGTAAAGCACAAGGAGACTGTTTTTGGTGTGGGAAGTCTACATATAATTGCAACACACCATTTTTTCAGATGCACAAATTTTGCAGTGTTAGTTTAATGTTTATTTATTACTATTAAGTAACGCGGCACTGATCTGGATTTAATTTTTATTTCACAAATGTATGAGAGTGGCAGAGTGTGAGCAGCTACTGTGTTTGGATGAGGTTAATCATTAAAGTGATACTAAAAACGCACACGGTTTAATTTCTGTATGTGGATGTTGGCTCTAAGTATTTTGCTGCTGGTCACATGTTCAAAATAAAACAGCTTTTTAAATAAACTGTGTAAAGTTGGCATACAAATACATATTTGAAATCAAACATTTATTTTGTGAAAAAAACATGGTGTGGATGGATTTCTGCCAGTCTCAGGCTGTGTCACGGCCCTCCAGCCTGTGTCTTAGCATAACCGGGGGATGACGCAGCCATTAATCTACATGTAATATCCTCCCCTCATTGTGTTTAGTTGGTTAGCGGGTATGGAGGAAGAGGGAGGGAGTGGGCTGTAATTTACCACTGTGTATACGCCCACGTGTGTGGCTCTATAATCACATGGGCTGCTCAGATATGATAGCGAGGAAATGCTCAGCATAGAAGCTCACTGAGCATGTGTAGAGTTGCCACTACAGCTGCAAAATCTGTAGCTGAATTGGGGACATGAACAGAAGGTAGAGAGAGAGAGCAGCAGGATCAACCAGGTTTTTTGCAGAATACAGAAAACGAATACTCACTGAGTGAGTATGAACAGCATGTAACAGCATGTATAGTGGCTAAACAGTTAGCACTTCTACCTGGCAGTACTAGGGTCGTTAGTTCAAATCCCAAACGCAACACCACCTGCCTGGAGTTTGCATGTTCTCCCTGTGCCTGCGTGGGTTTCCTCTGGGTACTCCAGTTTACTCCCACACTCCAAAACCATGCTGGTTGGTTAACTGGCATCTGTCTAAATTGGCCCTAGTAGTGTATGTATGAATGTAAGTTAGGAACCTTAGATTGTATACCTCTTGAGGGTTGGGGACTGATGTGAATGTACAATATATATGTAAAGCGCTGCGTAAAATTTACAGCGCTATATAAAAGTACTTGTAATAATAATGTATTGATAGGCTTTTTTATGATTTGGGTTTAGTGACACTTTAACAATATTTATTTTGAGGTATAGCAGCCAAAACGTTTATTTGGTATTATTTTCGGTATCCCAACATCGCCACTTTGCTGCTCCCAGGCTGCTGCATGTATTTCATACTTCTGCTGCATGTCAAAACCTACCCCTCCCACTGCACACTGGTTCCTCCAGCCATCTCGTACATCACTGGAGAATGTACAGGGTAGAGGAAGGAACCAAAGTGTGCAGTAAGGGGGAGCAGGTATCTCCCATGCCTGAAAGTGTGGAATACTGATATCTACCTGGAAGCAGCAAAGCAAATTTGAATGATATAAAGTGCAGCGCTAACAATAAACAATTAGATCATTTATTGTTATTCACTCATTTTGGTAGGAGGTTTAGTGTCAGCGGCTTGTAAGATAGGGCCCCATTCCTAGCGCAGGAGGTTCATCCTTTCAGTATTAAAGCAAATCTGAAGACCCTGGCTACCACAAAGTTAAGTATACATGCTCTTCTTATACAGCCCAGGGTTTAAAGGGCTAACTTTAAAGACTATATAGACAGAAATATGTAGTCTGCCACTACTAATGTGGCTTTAACATTTTTTGACACTTCACACTCTTATTAAAGGTTAGTGGTCCTGCATGGCAATCAAACATCAGTAAAAGAAGCCGGTTGCCTGCCATGCTCCGACAAGACTGAGAACCAACATCATAAAGAGTCTATCTTCTTTCTAAAGCCAAATTCCCAATGTAGCAATCCCGATGACAGCATATGCAAAAAGTCACACCTGTGAGTGTATGAATCTTCTGTTTAAGGCTTGCTCCGGTGCTGTCCAATGGGAGCCTCACGTCATACTTGTTCTTATTCCAGATGATCTTAAACTCCACATGCTCTCTCTCTGACTCAGAGTCCTCTCCATTGCTGACTGCCTCTGGCTGTGCAGAGCCACCGTCCTGAGAACATGCGCCTTCACCCTCTGCACAGCTCAGTTGTAACTTCTGTCCATCCGCCTCCATCCCCAGCTCTTCCACTTCTGCAGAGGGAAATAAAAGACAGGAGAGCTGGTCAGGGCAGCAACGTACAAAGCAGATTATTCCACACTGAATGATAAATGGTGTCAGCAGAATCAGGGGCCTCTTCCCTTCATCCCAACATACAGCTCATGCTAGGATCACATAATCAAGCTTCATAAAAAAAAAAAAAAAAAAAAAAAAAAAAAAAAGGACTATGACTTCTCATTATGTTATCTCTATAGGTATCACAAGTGAAACAAGCCTTGAATCTGGTAATCAAGACAATAGAATCTCTATCTCCTGCTCAGGATACTTAGATCCCAAGGTCCTAAGGGTTGAATTCCCACTTTATATTCTCATTCATTACATATGAAAATGGTTAAAAAAAAAAAAACTCCAAGTGATAAGGTCCAAATGGCAATCCTGCATACCTTCTATGTCCATCGAAGACTGGGAGGACACTTGCTCCTTCCACTTATCGGTCTCACCGGCTGTGAACAATAAATTCTTCTATATTATAAAAGAGGCAAAGAATGTATAAAGCGCTGTAACATGCAGCAACCAATCAAATTTTATCTTTCACGGATTGTGATGATGCCATTAAAACTCAAATCTGGATGTTATGGGATACTTTACTAGGCTTTGTGCTACAAGACCCAATAAAGCAATATGTCAGCTCAATCAGTAAATTGTCTGTTTATCAATGCTTCCATCCAAGATTCACACAGCTTTCTATACATATATACTATGGTTTTTGCACAGAGTGAGGAAGGGGCAATATATTTGCAATGCCATCTGGAGGATGGATCCCTAGAATGGTAGCCATACACACTTCAATTTTACTATCCGATCGATAGGCGTCGATCAAAATGATTAAATATGCAAACAGAATAGCCGCAACTTCCCTTTTGATTGATTTAGACTCAACCAATAAGACGGGGTTTAATTTTATCAGCCATTTTGCATCAATTAGCATCACTGATATACCATGGGGTTGATTTACTGAAGGCAAATATACCGTGCGCTGGAAGTGCAGTTGCTCCACAGCTTAATAAATGAGGTGAAGCTTCACTATGCAAAGAATACCCAATGACATGCAAGGAAAATAAAAAAAAACAGCTTTTTTTGCTTGCACATGATTGGATGATAGAAAGGAGCAGAGCTTCCCCGCAGATCTAGAGCAACTGCAATTAAAGTACCCAGACTATTTGCCTTTAGTAAATCAACCCCTTTGTTTATGATTATGTTTCAACCGGTCAGATGATGAGATTACATGGTAGATATAGAGATGCGATCAAGAACTTACAAGCGTAAGTTACAATAGTATCCGATTGATTGAAATCCACTTCAAAGTGTAAAATAACGATCCTATTGGAAAGATCAATCGGAAAAGAAATTGATTTATTGAAGCATGTATGGCCATAATTAGAGACATCTCCCCTCGTTTCCTGTTGACCACTCTCACTCGGACAGGAAGTTAAGGACACAGTTATGAAAACCTAGTATATTCTAATTCTTCCAAATGCTTTCTAAAATTTGTAATACAGAAGTTTTGGTTGAATTTAAGCTGGCCATAGATGGATCAAAATTCGGGCTGGTCCCTGCTGAACCAGATGAATTTCGATTCATCTATGGCCAGCTTAAATTCATCTGTTCCTGCTCCCATTTAAAACAAATCTGTTCAACGATTGACTCCTGTCATTTAGACTTGTTGGAAAAAAATTCTTGATCAGCGGGCTGCAGCCAATTGGAAAGATTTCCTGTTATTTCCTGTCCCATAGCTGAAACGGGAAGTGGAAATCCCTGGTTGTCACCAGGGTCACAGGAACCAGTGTCCCAATTGGAAGATTTCCCCTTTTTTCCGGTTCTGGGGAGAACCCAAGATCTGGGATTTTCTTTTACTATCAATGGTAATGCTAAACAGGACAAGTAGAGAGGGTGAATCTCCCTAAAGGTGCACAAACAGCAATAAAAACTGACAGGGGTTCTAATCCATCTCCACTCTTTCTGAAAAAAAAAAAAAAAAAAGTCTTGCCTTTAGATATACGTTAAGAATTCTATTGAGAAATCAGAAAACAAAAAAAATGTTGCCAATAGCAATCCAACCAAACTCTCTTTCTGCCCCATGCATTATGGGAAACTGAAAAGAAAGGTCTAATAATTACTATCAGCATTTCAATCATTTGAATAATAATGACAGTTTAGTGCAGGACAAGCAATTGAACTAGACAGCCGAATGGCTGCTAAAACGAACATCCCCAAAGCTGGACATAGATGACTGGCGGGCTGTTTGGGGAAAAAAAAAAAAAAAAAAAAAAAAAAAAACTGACTGGATCCTCCCATCTGCGCTATTGTATTCACTGTCAAAATACACTGATCAGCACTGCAATCGGCTGCAGTGCTGATCAAGTGAAAATTTACTACTAGTCATGTATGAGAGGAGTCAATCATTCAATCGACTCCTCTCGAACAGGGACAGCCATAGATGAATCGAAATTTACCCGGTCCCTGATAAACCAGCCAATCCATTTATGGCCAGCTTAACGTCACTTCATTCACTTCCCGATTAAAGGATAAGATCACCTTTAAAAAATAAATATAAATAAAATGCACATCTTTTGCAGGAAAAAAAAAAAAAAAAAAAAAAGCGCATTTATTATTTTACTTGGAGCCTGCAAAACATTGTACCTGCGATCAGCTGAACACATGTGCGATGCAGGGCTCCTGCCGACTGTTAGTGTGTTCTATCTGATCGTACCTCGTATGGACAGGCAGTTACACAATGACAGGAAGCATAAAAGAACTCAACAGCACCCTGGCAGTTTGAGAATTACAAGCCGACAGTCGCAAAGACTGTTGGTACTTGTAGTTCTCCCATTCACAGAACTCTGATTGAATGATGCGGATGGGTGGGTGGAGCCCTACACGGACGCTTTTTAAAAAAACATTGTGACAGCAAGTTCGGGGAGAAGTCTCAACAAGGGATTGGGGGGGGTGCAAGAGATGCTGCAACAGTAATATGTTACACCGTGAATGTGTTTGTTACAGGTTACAAAAGGTGAACCTATCCTTTAAGTGAATTGGTTCTGCTCACCTAAAGCATAGCTCCACCCAAAACAGATTTTTTTAAAATTGTGGGTACTTCTAGGAACACCCAGATTCCGATATGTCTCACTGATCTCCATTTGAACCCAGCAAGGCTTTAAAGTGGTAGTAGAGTTTGTTAAATTAACAAATCTTAAAATTGCTGACATACAGGATATTTATGATAGAAGAGACCCTATTGGTCTCTTGTCCTCAATGCTTCCTCCTATGTCAGCCATCTTGTACTCGGAGCCATGCATGTGCAGCTCAGCGAACATTTATGGCCTGTGCCGCTGCAATGTGACTCCTGTGCGCACGTGTGGAAGCGACATTGTGGCAGAAGGCACAGAACCCAGATGGAAGACTGGGCAAAGATGGAAGCTCCCGAGACCTGCCGGATCGATCACAGCTCAGCGCTGGAGGGCTCGATTTGACATGTGTGTCATAATGTGCCAATATGCGTTGCATACTAGTACATGATGAAATAACACACCTGGGGGCCCCTAAAAAGAAGTAATTGTAGCAGAGTTTACTACCACTTTAAGAAGATGTTGCATTCTTGTGCTGGATTCTCAAATGATTTTTCTTATATGAAGGAGAATCTTTCTATTGCAGTCTTTTGTAAGAAGGCAGAATGTAATTTAAAGGGCCAGGAAACTGGACATATCAGTTTTGGAGTGCATTGGCTTTTAGCATTCTTGGATACACAGCTGGAGGATTTCCAGAAATCAGTCTTTGTCAGTCTTCAGACCCAGGGATTCAAGACAGACAATTTGTCATTCAGAATAGCCAGAAAAGACACCACGATTTAGGACTGCATTCCTACATCTCTCAGTGTTTAAGTCAACGTTTTGGTAAATCTAAGGTTGGTTGTAGAAAGATTGTAACCTTAAATTCAGCCATAGATGGATCAAAATTCCAGAGGTTCAGCAGGAACCAGGCGAATTTCAATCCATCTATGGGCAGGCTGGTTGTACTGATGTCGATCAATTGATCAACTTCAGTACAACCAGCCTGTTGGATTTTTTCCATACGATCACTAATGCTGCCGTGTATAGCCACCAGCTATAATCGTATTCTGACAGCGGGGAAACCTGCCACTAACAGAATACAATAGCACAGCAGAAGGGATTGATGGAGGAATTGAGTGATTCTTTCCTTCAAACTGTGGAAGAGGAAGGCACAGATAGCAATAAAAATATTTTCAAAAATTCAAACTCTTTCCTACTATACTAAAAACGCAGTTTTGTCTTTGTTCCCATTGAAAGGTTTTCCCATTTTTTCTGAACCTTGCCTTGAAAACCCCCTCCCCCATTGTTCTCTGCGGAGTTGACCTAACAGCTAAAACCACCCTGCATACAATCAAGGAAATTGTATGAACTGTCATTGTAGCCAGGAGACGTCAATTCACACAAGTGCTGCAAAGTTGTTAAAAAGCCAGCAGAAGTACCAACAATGTCAAAGTAAGGGGGGGGGGGGGGGGGGAGTCTAAATACCTGAAACACAGAAATATATGACCCATCAAGAGATCGCACCAAAGTGAAAATGAAAGTAAATGTCAGGGTGATGACTCAATGGCCAGCCATATCAGCCACAAGGCACACACATGACTCCACAGAGAACAGGGGAAGACTGGTACACCAGGAGAGATCAGACATAACACAGAATGGTTATGTAGCTGGGGACACAGGGAGCACACAGAGAGAAGATGGCAGAGTGGTCACCTATGATGGTGCAGACAAAGAGGGCACACAGACAGCAGATGGCACAGAGAAGGGTCACACATTTAGGAGGGGAAACAGATGGCACAAAGTCACCCATGTAGGAGAGAACACGGGCAGCTGATGGCACAGAGAGGTCACCCATGTAGGAGGGAACACAGGCAGCAGATGGCACAGAGGGGTCACCCATGTAGGAGGGAACACAGGCAGAAGATGGCACAGAGGGGTCACCCATGTAGGAGGGAACACAGGCAGCAGATGGCACAGAGGGGTCACCCATGTGTAGGAGGGAACACAGGCAGCAGATGGCACAGAGGGGTCACCCATGTAGGAGAGAACATGGGCAGCTGATGGCACAGAGGGGTCACCCATGTAGGAGAACACACAAGGTGCAGAAGGCACAGAGGGGTCACCCATGCAGGATACATAGGAAGCAGATAGTACAAAGGGGTCACCTATGTAAGAGGGCACACAAAGGTGTCACCCATGTAGGACACAAGGGGCCATATGGCATACAGGGGTCACCTATATAGGAGGGGATATGGGAAGCAGATGGCACAGAGGTGTCACCCATGTAGGACACAAGGGGCCATATGGCACACAGGGGTCACCTATATAGGAGGGGATATGGGAAGCAGATGGCACAGAGGTGTCACCTATGTAGGAGGGACCACATGTAGCAGATAG